GATCCTCCGGAAAAGGGCTTTATTCCGGAGGATCGCGCCAGTCTAGACGCTTTTTTCCGGCTTTTCCCCAAGCCGGAAAAAAAGCGGCGGACATGTTTATTTAAATCCGCGGGGGATATTTAAATCCCCCGCGGATTTCCCTATTCTGACTTACCTGCTTTGCATCCCTTTTCCGGAATTTGGGGCCAGTATAGACGTAGCCGCACACTTTAAGACAGGGGTGGAAAGCCTAAGGCTTGGGGGGAGAGCAGATGCAGCCCCTGTCTTGCCTGGATCCAATCCCCAAGGCTCAGGGCTCCCCACCCTCAGCATTGGGGAGCCCACACTGGAGCTCCAACCTCTCCCTTCCCCCCATCCCACCCCCAGGGCTGGAGCACACAAAATCTACTAGCCTGGGCCCCCCAGGGTCTGGTGTGCAAGGGAAATGTGCAGAGTATTTTTCTCCTTCTCAGTCAAGGGCCACATCAGTGAAGGGCCATGGGGTTTGGGGTTTTTTGGCTTCTCACTTATGTACACCCCCCCCACTGATTTTTCTTTGGGTCAGTAGCCTCTGAACAAAAAAGATTTCCCACCTCTGCTTTAAGAAAAGAAAGAATATATTTACACATTCACAGGGATAAAATTCAACAAAATTGGCTTGAGTATATTTTTCAACTTTATGTGAAACCATTTGGGAAAAAAATCTATGCTACGCTCTGGTTTTACATTTGAAAAGCTCTGGTCATTATATATCTACCACAGCATTTATACACGGGTTCTTTAAAATTCACAGTGAAGTGAACATTATTACCTATTTCCTGTAGTGCTAGTACACAGTATTTGCTAGGAGCTAGTGCTCCTTTTTTTTAGCATTTTAATCCTTCTTTAAAGTACCCATTATCCTGGTGTTAACTGGCACATACAGCCTGCTAGAGAGGTCAAAGTGCTGTCAGGCTGGTAACTGCCCTCTTGTACACAAATCACAGCATCTGCACTGAATTGAATTTTGTGCACTTAGTTCTCCTGGGGGAGGTTTTCAGGTGAGCATTGCTTGTAGGAGCTCTCCAGAGTCTGGGCAAGAGAGAAGGAACCAAAATTACAACAGGCCATGGCCTGAGCCATTAAGTGAGAGGTGCTGCAGCCAGACCCCCAGAGAGCAGGGACTTCAGCTCCAGTGATCAGCTTGAAAACAAGTTTCCAATCCCTGAAGAAAAATGAAACAACTCCAGCCCTAATTGAGGGCTCTGAGCCTGTCACTAGTGCAAAGGGTGAGGTGACCTTCCTCCTCTCTGCCAGCTGCAGCCCCTCTCTTTGAAGCAGAGATTGTGGGGGTGGCAGATGAAGGGCCAATGGCAGAAAGGAATGGCAGACACTGCAGTTGCGCAATCTTGTGCAAAAGCGGCTGCTCTCATGCAAAAACTTGCTGCCTGTCTACACTGGCCACGTGTTCTTGCGCAAGTAAACTGACATTCTAATGTATGAAACCAGGGCTTCTTGCACCAGAACACTGATGCTCCCGCTCAGGAATAAGCCCTTTTGCACAACTGTTCTTGTGCAAGAGGCCAGTGTAGACAGGCAACATGAATTTCTTGAGCAAGAAAGTCCTAAAATGGCCATCAGAGCTTTCTTATACAAGAGAGTGTCTACACTGGCATGGATGTTCTTGCGCAAAAGCACATCTCTTGCACAAAAGCACATGCTAGTGTAGACACTCTCTTCTGGAAGAGTTTTTGCAGAAGAACTCTTCCGCAAAAGAGTTTTTGTGTGAGAACACGCCAGTGTAGACCTAGCCTCCTTGTTTTAGCAGAGAGTTTCAATCCTGGCCTTGCTACTGCACCTGGCATGTAATTCTCTGGAGCTGCTCTGTAAGCACCCCAGGATGAGGGAAAATATAATCCCTCCTGCAGAGAGAGGCTCCTCTTAAGGACAGGTGGAGCACCTGATGGCTACAAAATAGGAGCTAGGGCTGGGGAAAGATTCCAGGCTGAAAAGTGCTTCTGTCCCTTTAAAGCCAGTCCCTCCGAACTAAGGCTAGGTCTGGGGCAGTCCTTAAAGCCCCTTGCTGCCCTTTTGGTTCATGCCATCTCTAAGCTGTCACCTGCAGACCTCAGCCCTGCTGATCCAATGCCAGGAGGGATTTCTTCTGAGCTAGCCACGGCCTCCGGCTCTGGAGGGCAGCGTGCGCCGGGGAGACCCTGTAGATCTGCAGCACCTCTCTAGCCTAGCGTACCTGGCAATGGAAGCCAGACTTGCTGCCCTGGGGGAATTTCCAGCCCTGGAGCTCAGAGACCTGCTGCTGTCCAGCTCAGAAGAGATACCCGAGGGACGGCTCGCTCCTCGGGGCTTGTCCTTCCAGCTTTAGTGCAAAGCGCGTCGGCTCCCTTCCTGGGACAGGAGGAGGGTCCCCTACTGCGGAGCTATCACTGCTCTTGAGGAAGGGGGCGGGGAGAAATGAAATTGAAGTTGGGCAGCGATTAACGTTTCCAGCTTTAAGCGAGTTTTTTAAAGTTTCTGAAATGTCTTGGCGAATCTAACGTCTGCTCCGAGTAAATACGGGGGACTAAAATGCTGCTCGGGTTACATTTAAGAAGGTTTAAGATTGAAATATAAGTGATATGTACATAAAACCATCAACCCACTCTCCCTCCCACAGACACACGTGGGATTGTTATCAGTATTACAAACACACGCCCGACTGCTGAATACGTGGATGTGGAGATATGTATGAAAACAGATTGCTGATAGGTTCAACAAAATTTAAAACCGACACTTAACACGCACTTGCTGGTTCTTTGAACTCAAGTCACAAGATCTTCAACTTAAGTGGTAAATTTTCAACTCCTTCATAAATGACTGTACATTACATTTGCCTGAGTATCTTTTCCACAGTAAAAAGATTATTTTCAAAGTAAACAAAGTAAAGAAAGTGCAGAATGTGCACGTAGTTAGGAGCGATCAAAGCGAAAGGGGGAATAAGATAAAAGGTCACTTTAATTGAGAAAAATGAGGTCCAATAAATTTTCTGATAAGAAAATTAGACTATCTGAACATATTCAAAGCATTGCTATTATTTAACTTTTAAAGCTTTTGACTTCATAAACGACTTGACATTTATATTCACGTGAAGCACAGAATTAACATTCCCAATTACCTACAGATAGTACAGATCATGACAAAATAAAGAAGAAAATATGTATTTTTGGCTCAAGCAATTCGATCTCAAACTACTTTCCCAAATACAAAGAATTCCACCCCTTAATAGTGCAAAATAATATGCAACCCTGTCCGATCTGAACAGAATAACAGATCACGATGCATACATACCCTGTATGAAACTAAGAGGCACTGTACAAAGCAGACATTCTGGCAATTGAGTTGAAATCACAGTTTTTAGGTTGTCCCAATCTGACTCTAGAAAGAGCTGTTAGTAATACATTTCAGTACAAATCATGTGATTTCTTCACTCTCATCCAAAGCAAAGTATCCAAAAGAAAGCACCTCTGCAACTTTCTTTAGTAAAAGGTGAATTTTATTTATTTGTTTATTTGTAAAGAGGGATTTAGCAGGGGGCCAAATATTCAGGAAAGTTCTAGTGAACAGCCAATAAGTCAGAGTGGACAATATTTGTTAACTTTTCCACTAGGGTAACTAACACTACACTCCCTTTAAACCTATAGCATGAGTGTTTGTCCAGCGACAATACCGTAGCTAATCACCTGTTCTGGGAGACAGACTCCTTGTTTTAGCTCTTTTTACTACACAGCATCAAAATGAAATTACCTTGGTTTAGACGGGGTGGAGAGAAGAGCGACAAAAGCAGCAAATAGTTTCAAACTTCACTTAAAATGCTCCCCAGCTGCTTGTTCCCCAAAGGACCAGTGCGATTCCTAGTAATAATACTTTTAAGGTGCTTTTCAAAATGAAAACCTGCGTCTTGTTTAAACAATATATGTAACTGCA